ACATACATACATACAAACAGACAGACAGACAGACAGACAGACATACATATATATATATGTGTGTGTGTATATATATATATACACATGATTGGTGACTGTCGAAGAAAATGACCACTAGTATTGCCGAAGCCGCAGCCGCCAAGGCCACGTCTCGTGTTATTTCCAAGTCAGCGGCGAAGCCGAGCCTGTCAGATCCCTCAGCGTTGAAACAGGGTTTAGTGTTTAGGGTTTACGGTTCGGGGTTGAGGGTTTGGGGTTTAGAGTTTAGGATCAGCTGCCAACTTTGCCAGCAAGCCTGTCGATAAGTTGATACTACATCGCAGCCTGAGCCTTCAAAAAATCCGGGTGCCCTTTACACCTGATAAAGTCCCGAATCCCTGCAAATACAAGCAAGAACAACTTGAAGCCCAAGTCCTAAAGGTTGAGGCCCGGATCCCTGAATCCTACAACCCTTGCATCCTACAAGCCCGTCCACCCTGCAAAAGCCGCGGCGCCTCGGACCCTTTGGCTAGCGGCTGCAGGACTGGTCGCGGTTGTCTTGGTCCATATCAGTTCGAAGTTGGGATTTAACACAAGCAGGTCCCCCCAAGAGCCCCTGTATTTACACTAAGCACACAGGTTCAGCATTAGGAGCACTTTCCTGCTGACGCTCTCAAGCATACACCCTTCAACCCTGATCTGACTCCCAAGGGGCACAGTCTGCTTCCTAAGTTCCCCTGACACTTTGAAGTGAAGCCCCGACCTCTGGAGCTCGAAATCCTAAACCCTCGAAGCTCTGAAAGCCTTAAGTGCTAATTATGGGCTGTACGCTTTCCACACCACCCCAAACGCTGGATCCCGAACCCCCCACCCCCCCCCCAGATCCCTTGAATAAGCGAAGCGCAGGACTCTCATGGCCTTTTGCAGTCTCGTTGCCACATATCTGTCCGTTGCCGCGGCGTGGAACTCGGCAGCTACACTGGACAACTTCTACACCTTTCAGGATCAGTTACTTCGCAGTGGCTTTCTTAGTTCCCCTGCTGGTCTTGTGTCTAGGATTGAAGGTTTCGGCTTTAAGGTGTGAGTGGATTTGGGTGGTAACGAAGTCGGCTTGTCTGCAGTCTGACTGGGCCTTGTCCCCGGCACAGAAAAATCCCATGTTGCTTACCGGAAATCTCAACCTGAAATAGGGAGGCTCTCATCTTGCTTCTACCCTCCATAAAGAGCGGGTTCCTGGGCCGGGATGATGAAGCCTTGAGAAGGAGTTCTACACCGATGCCCAGTACGGACCGGACTTCGGGTGCCCAGTTTTGGCAAGTGGGTGAACAGGGTGGCTTGCTTTGGGTTTAGATTCTAGAAGTCTAGACCTGTGGGTAAGCTTCAAGGTGTCTTGGACTTGTAGTCGCCACGGGATGTGCTTCCGCGTGGATTACGGAGTCCAAGGATTCCAGTGATATCAGACCATCCGACCTACAGTGTGCAGGGCTTTGCCCTGGGCGAGAGGTACTACTCGACTGGCCGAATTCTGCATTCCGAACCGGCAACGAAGGAGGACGTGAGCGCAAGCTCAAAGTTTGGGGCGCAATTCGGGCATGCATTGACTGAGTTGGAACAGCTTGTAGCGACCATAGTCATAGTTGCTGATGGTCCCAGAGAGGCAGTTGAAACCTACTTACACTTTCTACCTACCCCTGAAATTTTCAGTTGCCAAGTAGTGCTGGCAGTGATTTCGAGCAGTCTCGCCTTCGCGTTGGCCCGATTCTTTTCGGAGGGACTTGCGTGCATTTGCAACAGACGGCGAACCCCTCCGCTTGCAAAGTGCTGCTGCGTTTCAATCCGTTCATCCTGCTCGTCACGTTTGATGCCTTCGGGCTGTGCTTCGTCAAAGGCACAGTGACGTGATTGCTTCTGCTAGGTTTGTCTGAGTGGTTTTCTTTACTCAAAGAACCACGTAAGCAAAACCCCGCACCAGGATGCTTCGAACTTGGAGTATTTCAACTCCTACACAACGCAGCCGATGCTTCCAAGCTACATCAGAGTTTGGTGTGCATTCGGTTGTTCGCAAAACCTTAAAGCCATCTGGACTCCTAATTATATAAACCCTAGAAAACCCCAAAGGTCCTGAGCCCATCATCGAACAGCAGTTTAAGGGTAAGAGTCCTGTGTCAAGCACAGGCGACAGTAACAACAGCTTGAAACCATAATTGATTACAAGATGCTCTCTACTATCGTTATAGTACACTATCCAGTTCACTATATTACAAAAATATACTAAAATACATTATATATATATGTTTATTATACTAATATGCTATACTTTCTTAGGGTAGTTTATGGCACCTTTGAGCAGGAGTAGAGCTCAGCCCTGTTCAACTCCTCAGGTCTTTGAGCCCCTTCTTCGGGCAACTGGTCGCAGAACGACTTGTCAGCCTTTTGGCTTCGGAGCGTGGTTTAGGGTTTAAGGGGTTTAGGGCTTAGGGGGTTTAGTGGGTTTAGGGCTTAATGGGTTTAGTCTAGGGTTTACGGGGTTTAGGGCTTAGGGGGTTTAGTGGGTTTAAGGTTGAACGGGTTTAGGCTTTAGGGGGTCTAGGCTGTAGGGCTTTACAGGGTTTAGGCGGGGTTCAGGGTTTAGGGTTCATGGTCTAGTAGGTCTAGGCTTCAGGGCTTTAGGTTTTAGTGGGTTTATTGAGGGGTTAGGGGATTTTAGGAGGGTTTGGGGGGCGTGAAGCTTTGCGGGTGACATTGTTACAGGTATTGTATAGGCATAGTGTTCATTGTTGTTAGTTGGTGTCCATGTCTTTCATTTCATCAGTGCTCAGTGGTGTGTGTAGGGCCTGGGTTTCCCGTATCAAGCTTCAGGGTCTCGGATGGAATCCTGAACCCCGAAATCAGACCTCAGTTACGACTTCTGCGAGGATGCGATCATACGTTCTGCAACGGTTTAGGAAGAGTTAGAAGAGGAGACCTTGTCAGCATATGTAAGCCTAAGTAGATGTGGTACATATCCCTTGCCGTGCCATAACCCCAAGTCATGGGATACCTGTAGCTTGATGTTTGACTGTGAGTCCGGTTATCCTTTCGCCCTAGCAAGGCAGCTTTAGAGGACCTTTGGAATTTGATGTTCAAGGTATAGCCTAGAGAACGGGTGCTTATCATAAGGAATCATAAGGTACGTGTTAAGGGTTCAAAGATCTTCAGTCTTCGCCACGCCTGGGGGCTGCAAGCTCAGAGCTCAAGTTCTAGGCATTAAAGTTTACTATAGGGCTTTAAAGTTAGTAATTAGAATATGGCTGTGAGGTGTTTTCATGTATCGACATAGTTCGTTTTGATGAGGAAAAGAAGCCTGCTTTTGGATTGTAGATCCGAAGTCATCAACCACAAAAACCAGGGCTTCTAATGAGACGAAGGCTGAAATTCATGGTTTTAACTACCGTATATACATCCCAGACCGAATTAGGCTCCCAAAGCCCCAGGAAGGTCAATTCCAACGCCTAAGTCCGAAGCCCTGCAAAACCGAAGAAGCCCAGAAGCTCTTTAGCCAAGGCCAGGAACCCAAAAGGCCCACTTTGACCTTACCTAAACCCCCAAAAGTAGGTAAACTAATGGCCCAAAACCCATTTAAAAATAAAAAAAAAAACGTCTATTCTTCTACATGCTTTTGGGGTCCAGGTAGAGACCCTATAAAACCCGAAGGCCCGAATCCTAAAGCCCTGCCTTTGAAGCCCAAGGCATGTGGATCTCCATGGATCGGCCGACTCCGCCTCTTGCCTCTGGGGATCCTTTGGGTGTGGGGATGTTTTAGGGTTTAGGGTTTAGGTTGGGTGTTTTGCAATCTGGGGTAGCCGTGTGGCACGAGTCCACAGCACAGTCGGCGCCTCGGTTCCTGGCATATGCATAGTCCAGGTGTAAAAGGTTGGGTGTTGGGTTTCAGGGTTTAGGGCTTTAGGGCAGCTTGGGGTCGGGTCCAGGGTGTAGGGCTTAGGGATCTTAGGGTTTAGGGCTTTGGGAAGTTTTGTTTCAAGGCTTGGGGAGCCCCAAATGCAGGATCTTGCATCTCACCCACCCTTGGGGGCTCTTGATAGAAAAGGCTTGGGTTGCAAGTGTTGAAGCTTTGACATTGAGACTGGCAAGTCCTGAAAACTGTTGCCAGGATCTCTTAGCTGAGGTACCCTTCTAGCACAGATTCGTTCAGTTTTGGGTGGCATCTGCGGCTTCAGAGGGGCCCCAGCAGTAGACGACGTGAGCAAGGAGCCCATATACGTGCAGTGTAAGGCCCCCTCTTTCTAGAAAATCTTAGTTTGCGAAATGCGTAGGTTGATGTGGTCTGGAACTACTTGAGTGGCTTGGTTCGGTCTTGATGGGTGGGGTCCCGAAGCGTAGGATCTGGAACTGCTTTGGGGGGGCATAGTCTGAGTTTAGGATTCGAGCAAAGCTCAGAGACATCCTGTACTGTACCATGCTTTTGCTCAGCTAATTGCACGTATCTGTGCAAATGTAGCCTTGAACAATGTTCACGGGGTTCCGCCCTGGCCATATCAGATGTCAGCGACCTGTTGGCGCATTCAAATGTTTAAGCAATTGCGACAAATAGGTTGAGCAAGTTTGTCTAATGCCACGGAATCGCTGACGATGTGCTGGACTAGTGAATGAGGGTTACGGATGACGGCCGCAACACAATTGCAGCTGTCCTGCAGTCGGAGTCGCCATTCTGATGATGATTCTGTGGACTAGTCAGCGCTTGCGTGATGGTAGAGATTCTGCGACCATCACAGCTGCAGCTTTTTCTAGTATTGTTGCTTCTGACTTTATTGTTGTTTGGTGCTGCTGCTCGCGAGGTTCTTCGTGATCGAATTCGGAGGCCGGCTCGTGTGTAAGTGAGCCCAACCTGGATCACAGCGCGGACGGGCATGGGAGCACAGCTTATTGGGGGTGTGTAGAGCACAGGGGACCTCACCGAAACAGCATACGACCTGAATATGCAGTGGCCGGGACGTCAGGAACCAGTTGACTTTATGTGTGCGAGGCCTTGCAGGAGGTAATGTTGTCCTACAGTTCATGTCGTTATACTGTGCGCATGTGCGCCAAAAGTGCTCATGCAAGTACTAGAACGCCTTTACTTTGGAGGAAAGAACCTTCCCTCTCAGGTCCCCCCTCCCCAAATCAAATTGTATCCTGCTTCCAGCATCTCGCGACTGGCGAACCCTTCAGTTTCAGTCCGAAGTCAGGTCAATATGCCCAAGAGAACAAGGGTCGCCCAGAGAGAGATTGTATTCCAACTAGTACTCCCGAACTCTGGCAAGCACGACAATGATAGTCGTAGTTTCAATTGTAGCAGAAACGTTGTAACATGGTTTCATCCTTAGCAAGATGCAGTTCAATCTCGCTGTCGTGTTTTCGCCTGTTGAGCCCCCGGAAGGAATAATGCCATCTTTTGGAACTTACGGACTGACAATTGAATCCAAAGCCTATTTCTCAAGGTCCTTGCAACAACAGGTCCCAAACTTCAAACCTCTACCCCGAATCCGGAGCCCTTGTCCCACAAGCCCTGTCACAGCTCGGAGGCGGCACCGGGATTCTGGCTCGAGACATCCTCACCCATGCATCGAAGGCACACCCAGACTTCTACCAGGCCTTGCGCCGCTATGCCCCCTGGACTGGCCCTTGCCGGCGGATGTAAAGTTTAGGGCTTGCTTCCGTGGTCTCATCAGGTTTATAGGCTTCTGCTAGGCAAGTATAGGAGTTTAAACTCGGGATGTCGCTTCACGCACGTCGGCGTAGCTGCTTCGGACGGTCCGTGATCTTACTCGTCGGAGTCGGAGGCCAAATGCAAAACTGGCTTTTGCAGGCCCGAATTGCTGCGGCGTAATTAGTTATTTGCTTCACTTCCGTGGCTGCTGCTGCAGTCTTCGGAAATGTGATTGTTCCGATTCAGATCGTTTCCCTGAGACTTCGTCCTACTTCCCAACCTCTTTGTGCACCACTGCTACCGCTGCTGTTGCCATTACTGCTGTTGCTACTGCTATAATGAGAGGATAACGACTTCTGCTGCCGGCTGCAGCAGCCGCGACGACGACGACTGCTACATCTGCGACTGCCACCGACCCATTGTTTTTTCTCACTACGTCATGCTCTTCATTATTTCCTGCATGAGCCTGCCGTTCTTCGCAGCTTTCGATTTCAGGTCATCGGCGAACGCTCCCAGGCACTGCAGCAGACGTACCTCGGTCGGGAAGTTGTTGGGCTTGGCGAGTCCAGTCGTAGTATTCGGGGTCGTGGTGCCCGTGGTCGAGTCGTACCCACCTGTCAAGATTACATGCTGGAGGATCTGTTCGAAAGAAGTGGTCGACAGTGGTTTGTGAGAGCATAACTCCAGCGCAGGCCGGCCGTCTTTCTGAACCGTAGGGGAACCTACACTTGCTTGCATTGCGCATGTTTTTGCCATATTTGCCCTCGCCGGGGCTGGCTTTTGGACAGTCTCCGGAGACGTCAGAACATCGAACGCATACCTGTTAGGATGGACATGAAATCCCATCCTCCCACTGCGCAGCTATTCCGCAGCATGCCTTGCAAAACACAACTGCGGCAACATTTCTTCATGTTGCAAAGCGTATGAGTTGCGAAATGCAGTAACTACATGCCCTCCTTCTGCCTGCAAAATCGTCGCCACGGGGAGGTCCAATGTTCGATCGGAAATTCTCAACACAAACAGGCTTCGCTCGTTGCATTCCCATGGCGACTTGTTCGAAAGCACAGCGGAGACCCTCAGCCCCAAAACTGACCTGATAAGGCAGAAGCGGACGTGTGCGAAGTTCGTGCAGGATGAGAAGCTGCGAGTGGATTCCAGCGATGCTCGAGGGGCTTCCAAGATGATGCTTGCCTTGTCATATCTTTAATATGCTGACCCGGCACGGGCTGGCAAGAACGATGTTTCCGAGAAAGATGCAGGAACACGCTGTCCTGGGGTCGTTTGTGGGCTATCTTCTACCCTTGGTCGGCTGTTTGTGTGGTGGCCTTTCATGCAAGACGCAGGGCATACATTCGGACTTCCCAGCTCCACAAGCCCCAGGCTGCAAAAGCCCCAAGCTTTCCGAAGCCACAAAGGCCCTACTCGAACTCCACCTGCAACTTTAATTACAGCTTAAAACCACAAAAGCCAGGCGGGAGGCAAAGAAAAAGACAAACGCTGGCATCATGGCGGCCCGAAGCAATTCGAATCCTCAAGGAGACAGCTGCTGAGCGATGATGCTCAAGGGTCCCCGCTGTACTCAGTGGTCCTCTCCAACGAGCTGCTTGATGAGTTCGATCCCGTGCGCTTGCGCTGCTGGTCTGGTTTATAGAGCATCTAGAACGGGATGTTCTGGGCGTATCTAGGCGTGGGGCTTGATTGTAAGTTTGTAAGTTTGATTTAAGCACCGAAGTTGTGACCGACTTCTCGGAGCCTGTCCAAATGCCCATTGCGCGCGGAAATAGCGCCAACCCGAAACCCAAAAACAACAGAAGTCGTGCGCTTAACAAGCCAAAGCAGGAACATTCAAACAAACACACGCACGCACGCGCACACACACACACAAACCTGTAAAACAAAGTCTGGACGACACTGGGAGACGCAAGCTTGGTTTGGAAGACGACTAAGGCTAAGGCCGTGACAAGTTAACTGCTGGTGCGCGTCTGCTCATGTCCTCATGTCAAGCAGGCACTATGTGCAGAAAAGCGTCCGTTCCGCATGTCAGAGGCAATCTGCAGTTTTCATTGGATGCTGATTGCAGAAATCCTCAGCATCCCCCTGCACCTAAGAAAGATGAAACTAAAACTGCAAGATTTGTCACATGTGCGGTAGAATTACACGAACAGGTCCACGAAGGGGGGCCACCAGATAATGACGACGGACCCAGTCACATGATTGCACACGCAAACAACACGTGTCATGAAAAAGTGTCGGTGCAATAACTTGCAAAAAGTCTTTGCAGCAAATCACTATCCACATCGACTGCACCTACGACGGGAAACGTTATGGCGATGAAACCGTTTGTGCTAATGTCCACGAGCTGTCGACATCCTATTACACATCCGAATTTAGTTTTTCGTTGGTCCATTCAATCCGGTCCTCACTGTCTGGATCGACTTCGGTGTCACTGCAACATTGAAACGCCAATGTGCCAAATACAACCAAGCTGCATCAATGCACAGAGAAATACCACAATATTTCCCAAATACAACCATAAACTACACAAGCAAACACAATGCAGAAACCTGATCGAAATTTCTGCTGGGTCCAAGTACCTCCGAGGCCTCTCCTGGCAAGCTGGCAACCCCCCAGATGTCGATCGCTGTAAGCTCTGTTCCACCTATCGCGAAGCCCACGTCCTCCACCGGATCGAGGAGACAGCGCTCCAGGCAGGGACGAGTTTAGGGTTTTGGGGTTTTGGGTTTTAGGGGTTTAGGGTTTAGGGACGAGTCCACAGCACAGTCGGCGCCTCGGTTCCTGGCATATGCATAGTCCAGGTGTAAAAGGGTTGAGGGGTATCGGTAGCGGTTGGTTTTTTTTCTAAGTGGGATTTAGGGTTAAGGCTGGCTTGGGTAAGGATTGCGGTTTAGGGTTTATACGGGCCTCAATAATTTGAACGGGGTGTTGGGGATCTAGTATAGGATGACTATGTCATGTAGGGGCCATGTAGTTCCTAATTCACACCTGTTTAAATTTTAAATGCCCCCACCCAGTTGTTGATAAGCCTTAGTCCCTTACACAGATCTCGTAGTACCCCTTTACAACCCGGCGTCCCCCGAGATCCTTTCAGCGCTGAGCTATGTGGCGTTGAGCAGGCCGTGCTCCGATCCTCGCAGGAGGCCAAGAGTCTCGCAGACGCCATCCGGTCCCGTGGCTTTCTTTTCATGGGCTTCTTCTGGCTGAAAGGTCGGGACACTTTGTAAGTAGTGTATTTGTATGGTTTCGATCCGTTTCTTACGGGGGATACAGTCATTTTGAGGATCTTTGGAGGGATGAAGACTTGCAGGGTAAACTGTTTGCAAGGCTTCTACAGGGTTTGTACTGGTCTGAAACAGGGATTCAGCGTTGAAGTTCTAACCCATGCAACCGAAAACTCCAAGCCCCAAGGCTTCAGGCCCTTGAAGCCCCGAAGCCGTTAAGTGTTTAGGGTTTAGGCTTTACCTAGACCCCAGCTACCCTCTAAAAAACCCTAAATACCCACTATGAAGGACCATAAGGGCTCCATTCAAGGGTACTTGGGGTGGGGGGGGGGGTCCTGGTAGGGCTGTTAGGCCCCAAACCCTCTGCCTCAGGTGGGAGGGCAAGTCGCTACCCTGTGGCCTCCTCGACACACAGCTGCTGCAGCGACAGGCGTCCAGATGGCCGACAGTTTAGGTCCCAAGCGGTGTGCCTTATGATTACATACTAATGTACCTATAGCGTATATCTTACTTGTCGTAATACGTTGGACCTGCATGGTATAGCTTGTACCGGCCTATTTAGGGTCTGGTGATGTTCAGACTGACAGACTTCGGAGTGCGCAGTCGAGAGAGAGAGAGAGAGAGAGAGAGAGATAGAGAAAGAGGCACACGCACACGCACTCAACACACAAACACATGCGTGCACTTCCTGGGTGGGTTTTTCTTCTGGCCTCTTCGATCTCGTGTGATGTGTTCTGTTTCTCTGTGCCACAACAGCCTGGCAATGAAGGCTCCCAATTGGGACACATGAGCACTGAACCACACAATCCTTCAGCTTTTCAGGTGCTCGAGCGTCTCTCCAGTGTGCTGACAAGCGAGGAGCTGCGTCGTTGCAGCCCTATGCAGGCCGACCCTTCCTTCAGAGCCTCCAGCAACACCTTCTTGAATGAAATCGTACACTTCGTTGCCCTGTATTGTTTGGGCAAATCATGTCCTATGTAGGCGTGCAGCATAAACCAAGGCCTTTGCTTTCACTGCGTGGGAAGTGCTTCTCATCTCAATCTGCTTGTGCGCACACGCTGAGAAGCCTGGTGCTTCGAGTTCATCGTCAACTGGTCCCAGATTTTCTTTATGCATAAATTACGATGTATTTCTTACACTGTAACAGATCCCTCATATGATCTAAATAGTATCCCGTACTTCTTGTTTACCGCAAGACTCGGGATATTTGGGCGCGAATCATCTACACTGAAACCTGAGAGGTTTGCTGCACAGCCTTGCTGCTGGCAGTGGACGCCCTCATGCAGGCGTGTGGGAGCTTCTGAACAGCGGAGGGAAGAATCCCACCACTTTGGATCTATAGTGGGGCCTGCACACGTGTGCTGCGTGGCCTGCATCCCCCTCACATGTGCCGGTACTGACGCAGGAGAACAGCGGGAAGACATACCTCATCACAGCGCCCCAAGGCCACCTCGAAGGGCCCAACAAAACTTTTGTTTCCCCACCCTCGAAAGCTTGACGACCACGACCAGCACGACCGACAAGGACACCAAAACCCCGTGAAACCACCCAGACACCGCCAACAAAGTGCCAAGAGACCACAAGCACAAGCAGTCACAAGCAGACCATCGGGAGACCACGCGTAGGCCGCCCGGAGACCACCAGGAAACCATCGACACCGGGAGACCAGCAGGACACCGCCAGCACGCCGGGGCCAATTTGCTCCCCTATGTACTGGCGGGAATGACGGGCCACGGACAAACTGCTCCGCCCATGCAGAAGTGGATACAGAGACATCATCAACATACTTCCGCTCATGTACAGGCCGGATTCAGATCTCGATCGTCCCCCTGTGTACTGACAGGATTCAGACATGTCGGGTTGACACGCCATACAGAGGCCAATGTATATTGGAGTAATATACGCTGAATGCCGGAGGATGGGGCCCGATCGGCTGTGTAGATCATGGGACTTGATCAATAAATGGATAGTTATACTAGGGTCCCCTTTATTTTAGGTCCCCAATATAGTACGGCACCCTTAGACAAAGGACCCCCAAAAGGACCCTACTTTAGAGAACTACCCTAATCAATTCTCTTTTTGACAACAGAACCTCATAGCGCGTACCACACTGTTTCGTGACTGCATGAGCAACTTATGCCGTAGTTTTGGGTTCAGAAGTCATGAATGGGCGGTGCGACTTGGAGTAATATACCGGCACTATAGGGTTTAGTTTAGTCTCGTGAGTTCCTAAACATGTACATCGCTCTTCATATGCGCAGAATGGCAGGGCCTGCTCAGAGCCCATCGACTCCCGGTGTCCGCTAGTGCTTATAGGCTTCGGAACCTCGCTTGATTCATCTGATGCTGCAGTTGAGGTCTTTGTGGAGGTTTAGGGCTTTCAGGTTTGGAGCTTATTAGGGTTTAGGGCTTTGCGGTTGAGGGTTGAGTGTTCAGGACGACCATTCGGCCATCCAGCTCGGAAAGTTAGCTGCGAGCAGCTTGCTTCCATTTTGGCTGAAGGGTTGGGGAGTTTTCTTCTGGAGTGCGTTGGGGTCCGGCTCTTATGGTTATGAGATCGGGCTATGATTTGCAATGCTTCTTCGGGTTGAGAGCATGCTTCCTGTGGTAGCCTCGCTGCGGCTGGATCCCTTGGTAGTTTGAGACAGGAAATATACTCCCAGTAACCCACATAGAAGTGCTTTTGGGGTACCGGGTACCAGTCCATTATTAGGGTCCAGCCCTAACTTCAACCCCAAACCTTAAACCGTGGCCTTTTGCGGTGCGAAGGGAATCCGCATCTCAGGTGACCGGCTTCTGCACAAATACCGCCAGCAGCTCGCGCGGACCAACGGCACGATCTTGCTCAGCAGCTCGGTTGTGCATTAAAGGCTCTTGAAGGGCCCTAACCTACTAACCCCTATAAACGTACAGACTTCGCCTGGACTTGTCCGAGTGTGAGCATCAAAAAAATCCTACACCCCGGGGTGTGTACTTCGGGATGGAAGAGTTATCGCAGGGGCGCCGGAGTCCAGTTCCATCCCCTCACCCGCAAACCACCAAGCAACGTCCTCATTCTATGGCAAGCCTTCTTTTTTCGACCTGAAACTGATCCGAAAACCCCTAAACCCTAGATCCTAAACCCTAAACCCCCGTCCTTGCTATAGAGGCTAAAAAAAACCGTAAGCCCCAACCCTAAGACCCCAAGCCGAGCGCCTGAAATCTGGAGGCAAGGCTCGGTACCGGGAGCTTCGTCGCCTTGCCTTGGATCAGGGGCTTGAGGTCGAGCAGGCCCTTAGCTAGCTGAAAGGGTTTATAGGGTTAGGGTTTATAGGGTTTAGGGAGTCCGTGCTAAAGAAGGGTTTAGGGTTTAGTATAGTTTAAACCTTGTTGGGATAATATGAACCCCCCTTCTAGAACTGAAAGTGTACACTTTTTGGGCTTATGAACTGGGCAGCTAAGGCGGCAATTGGACCCTTCTTCCTTTCCCTTTCTGATAGGGGGTTTAGGGTTTAAAGCTTGGGGTTTAAGTTTAGGGTTTAGAGTTTTCTAGCATAAATGGCTACTTTTGTCAAGGTTTCGATAGTGGCCTGAGAGGTTTGCCTCGCCTGATAAAGGCTTCACGGCATGTAGAATGGTTCTAGTGACAGTGTTTGAGCTCGACTTAGACTTTCGAAAGGTTTGCGTCTTCGGGCTTCGGGTTTTGCAGTAGGCATTGGGTGTTACTAGTAGGGCTATTTTCGCGCCGGGTGCAAGGATTTGATCGGCTTTGCTGTTGGGTTACGGCTCTGGCACAAGTCGAGGAACTTATAGCGAGGGATCATATGTTGATTTAGACTCCCAGATGTGCAGAATTGCAATGTCCCGGGCTTCAACACCGAACTTTTTGTTTCTTGTTGACGTGCATGTCGACGAAGCTAACTTGCCATGCAGCTAGGCTTTGCAAAGTGCGTACCCAAAGCGTTGTCGCTCTCGCGCGAACCCGAAACTCCTTGTATGCCATGTGTGCGTGGCCCGCTGCGGCTTTTGAGAACTCTAAGGGTCCATGTACCCAAATAGTATATACTTTGGCCTTAAAGTAGTCCGTATATGGGTACTTTGGGACCAAAGTATATACTATTCGGGTACATGGACCCTTAGGAGAACTCCTTGTGAGGCTTTGCTTGTTGGCGGACCCCAGCTGCCTGGACGAATGCACAGCGACGAGCCGCGGCTTACAGGATTTCTGAAAAGAAGATGTGCCTTCATTTTCAGGCATTGTCAGTCAACCTACTATGTTACTTACTATTTCGGATTTTTGTACTTGGCCCCTTGGTTTTCCCAGACTCCACCGCTTCTGTCGTGCGGTGCTGAGAGATGATGCTTACCGGGAATCGGGGGACTCAGGAAGCAGATTCTTATTGGGGTACACTGACCTCCAAAAAGGGTTATAGTCCCTAAACACCAAAAGGGATCGAGGGGAGTTGTGGTATTTCTGAAAGCTGGCTTACGAAGGCCTTCCAAATCGAGTCGACATTATACTATGAGGGTTCAGGGTTTACTTCATGCAGCTAAATTAGACTACTGTAACCAGCACTCAGGTAGCGGGTGATCGACGTAACCATGTTACCAGCCAAGTAGAGAGGTACAAACCGAAAATCAGACACACTTCTGCAGCACTCGATTCCTGCAGCGTTTGCTTGAACTGCCAGCATTGTATGTGTACTCAAGCCTCTAAATCTCTTGGAACAAATGCCTTGTGAAACCAACAGTAACCTAACCCTATCCCTATCCTCGAAGCTAGACCTCCACCCTCTAGCGTGCGAAAGCCTTACACCTGGCTTAGAGAGTCGGAGCGCGCGAGTCCAAATAAAAAGACCTCAAACAGCCCAATCGCCAAAGTGTGTATATATATATATACATATGAATATATATATATATATGTATGTATATATATATATTCATATATATATAAACAGCTGTGTACATCTTTGCATACATGCGCACATCTGTCAGACCCGAGGAAGTCTACTTTGCCCTCAGCCCGGCCAGGTGCCAGGAGTCCCTTCCACAGCAATTCATGGATTTAGGTTTTAGGCATTTGAAGTTGAGGCTTTAGTCTCATTAGTTCAGGCTTTGTGGCCTCAGGGTATTTTCGTAACGAGGTCTTCACAGATAGATGTTTTAGTATCCATAGATCTACCTATCTGCTATCGGACCACCCATTCAAGCACGGCATTTACCCTTGAAAACGATGCTTCTGTCAGCTTGACCTCACTAAGTAGAGTACTTGTGGTGCTAGTCGTCGTCGTGGTAGTGGTATTGGCAGTCTCAGTGCGCATCTTCAGGCTCCAGGGCTGGCGGGAACGCCATGCCAAGCGACTGGCTGCGGGCGCCAAGATCCGCGCCCAGGTGGGCCCACCGGGAGAGACGAGGTTTTGGGGGGGAAGATTTGGGGTTCGGGGCCGAATTGGTACAGCGGCCCGGTACTCGCAGCACAGCACTTGGGAGTTTCGCTCGTCGTGGTGGTTGTCCTGATAGGTGGCTCACCTTTACGACCGGCGCTGGTCTCGACGAGGAGAAGGTACGGGATGCGTTCCATCGATAGGCATGTTGAGTGCGACATGCAGGGACATTTGTCACGATGAACTGTGAGCTTTGTTCGATCTTGGAGAATTTTGAGAGACTTTCTCGCTTTCGAACCTGAATGCCAGAGAGCTCCTTAAGCTCACTGAACTCGCATCTGGGTTGCATCAGGCACACTGCAGTTGAAGATTTTGGTCCAGCCGGGCCATGCGCAGTTCGTGCAAGAAGCGAGCGGCTCGGACTGCACTGGACGCATAATTATATTATACTATTTTTCTATGAAAGTATATAAAATATTTTATAACCTGATATAATGTTATGTTATATTATATTATGTTATATCATACTTATAAAGCAGTGCTTTGAGCTGTCCTGTAGATTCGGCATGACTTTGCAGAAGATTCTAGGTCAACCTGGCTATCGATTGTCCTCATCCTCCCTGTTAAGAGGCACTAGCACGTGCTGAAGCTTTCAGGCATGTCGATTGATGAGCTTTGCGTTTGAGAACCTTGCGGAAGGTTGCGGCGATTCTTCTCAAGAATCCCAATTCAGATCCCTATGAGCTCGACCTCCGGTAATTAGTGTGGAAGCTAAAAACATTTCAACCTGGGTCAACTGCAGTTCGGCTTGTGATGATAGTTTCGGAACAGTTGTCAGTACATGGGCTGCAGTTATTAAGTATTCCCTGGCTGCAAGCCCGAAAGGGTCCATGTAGCCAACAACTATATACTTTGACCCCTACATTCGTTCCTATGTAGGTACTTTGGGGCCAAAGTATGTAACTCCATGAGCACATGGACCCTTAGGGTAGTACCCATAAAGCCCGAAAAACCCTAAACCATTCCCTTCCGGCAAATACCAAGGCGCTCTGGTGGACGAGGGCTTTCTCGTCTCCATGGACTATGGAGCCGACGCCGATGCCTTGCTTTGGCAGGCATTGGTGCACCCGAGCCTCGGGATACTATTATGATTATGATTATGCTTTTGATTATTATTATCATTATAATTCTTATAGTAGAATAACACAGGGACTATAAGGGACTAATACCACCAATTTGTTTTTAGGCTTCTGTATGATTCTGGAGACAGGTACTTCGCAAATGAACCTATGGAGTTCGGAACTCCCGTGGCGAGTTCTTTGGACACAGGACTCACCCTAACCCTCCAGGTACCTACTATATAGGGCCTTCAGGGCTTTAGTACCCTATATAGTAGGTACCTCGAGGGTTAGGGTCAGAACAGCAAGTCATGTGCAAGCTCCCATTCCCAAGCCTTCGCGATCATCGCGTTTACAGCGAATCTATAGATTTGTTGTTGTATGCAATCGCTTGAAGCTTCCCTAAAGCCTAAACGACAGAGGTGTGTCACTTAGTCCGGCTATGCCCCCGAGTTGTGAGAGCGTAAAACCCACTGGCAAGGAATCACGAGGGCATCCACATCATGGATGCACGCCAGGCCACATCGCAGTGTGCCGGCTCCTACTTGGCTCTTCGTCGGCAGAAATTTCTGGGCCGAAGTGGGGCGAGCATTCCGGGGGCCAGCTTCTTGAATCCCAAGCCTAATTTGTGAACCCTCGTCTAATTGTGACGGCTTCCTTGATGAGAGCCCTGACAGCCTCCATATGCATAGACTACTAGCTGATCGCTCCGGCTCGTCACCACGTCCCGCACCCAATTACTGGATCACAGGACGAAGTAAGCACTTCACAAGCCTAGGGCCACCAGTACAAAAATTTTTTTGCCAAGCTAGCCGCTAAGTTTCTCAGGGTTTTTCTGATCTTAATCACAATCTGCCCGAAACGCGAGCAATCAGGAATGCCCCGGCCTCCAAGACATCACCATGACTGTAGACTTCACGGAAGCTGCAGAAGCAGGGCGTCGCACGGCTTGGAGGGATGTCTGGCTTGGGGGTCTGTCGATTCTGGCTGATTCTGTTACTTCTTCGGGGTGTTGTGAAAAGACTCGGAGGATGATCACGCCTCCCTCCTGTTCTTTGCAACTTTTTGAGTCGGCCGCCGTTTTGTGACGTGCAGTCCTCGCACTTCTGTACACGTGGTCTTCAAGCACTCAAGATGCGGTTTTTTGTGCCAAGGGAAGCTGGCACAATGGAATACCCGAGCTTATGGACCCATTTTCCATCTGGAGCTCGCCTACGACCCCTGGCCCCTTGGCTGCATCACTGCAGAGGGAGGTCTGACTACTCAGTAACAACATCCGCTTAGAGTCTGGCTTCAGGGTTTAGGATTTAGGGACCCTAAACCGGGTTTCCATAGGATGTGTATAAGGTTACTATATGGGTGGTTCTCTAAAAATAGGATCCCTTTTTTTTAGGTCTCCAATACAGTACGACACCCTTAGTGCGACACCCTTACAAAAGGACCCTAAAAGGGACACTAACATCATCACCCTTCAAGTTCTAAACTAAGCCTTCTACCACCCTCACAAAACCGTCCGGGACGATTCTCCGGATCATGAAGACCCGGCAGCTTGTCTCCCAGGCCCCGGGAGGGTGAACTGAACCTCGGGTCATGGGTCCAAGAGGCTGCGGGGCAGACATACTTCGGGGGTTTAGGGCCCAGTTTTGTCGGAAACCTTTCTAGGGTTGTAAGTTGTAATGTGAAAACCCTTTGTGGTCGTAATTCATGGCCCATTCTTTTGTACGATGGCTTTGCGTTCCTTGGGTCGGCTTTATACTTTAGACCTCGAGCCTAAAACTAAAACATCGAGGCTGCGACGGTCCATCGCCAATCTGCTCGAACGTGCAGGAGGCCCACGGACGGTGGGACTTCATGCTCCCCGTTTGCAATTAAAGCTTAGTGTTCCTGCAAGGGCCCGTAGTATCGTTTGTTGGTTTGGCGTTTGTGGATTTCCCTCTATCGTCATAATTGCCCAAAGGGCTACTATGATCACGATACGGAAGGGCCGCTGTAAGCCTATCGACTCTGGGTTATCAGTCTGCGAACCTCCTTGATCTCGGTTCAAGATACTCCTAGGAATCTAAACGTCGGAAACCGTCAAGCTCCAAATGCTATACCCTGATGCCTCAAAATCCCTAAAGTCAAATTCTAACACTCTCAAACCCCATAGCCCCTCGCACCCCTAAAGCCCAGAGCCCTTCAGTCCCAAGCGTTTCAGCAAAAACTTCCTTCGCTAGTCTGGGAGTGCTTCAACCCATAAAGTGCTGTACTCCGTACCATAGTACTCATGGTCATACTGTCATACTTGACGCATTTTCCATGCTGACAACAAGTAAGCATCGTGAGAAGACTCGCCCGAATAGATGTCATTATCGTCTTTTACCAGGCCAAATGCACCCTCCCCTGTTTCACTGAGGCCTGGTATCGCCATTCAGGCGTCTTGCGCTCGCAGGGGGTGGGGGGGACACAGTTACTCCATGCCTCAAAACCAAACCGTCAAGCCTATATAGGACCACTGGAGGTAAGGCCTTGTTCAGACAATTAGACAGGTGTATAAGGCACAGGAGCCCTTCTTGGATTCCTACACAGCTCTAAATTGCCCTATTGCCATTGTGTGATTCGGATTCGTGCTCTTGCCATGCTCAAGCTGCACAACAGTTAACATTCGATGTTTGATCTTTGCTGCTCTTTTGCCTCAGTAGTGTCAAGTACCAAAAAACGCTGAAGCCATTCCGAAGTCGAGACAAACCAATAAGTCTTATAGAGGGTGCCCAAACTTGTCGATATAAGCCATACACACACACGCACACCCTAAGACCGCAAACACGTACAGTCCCTGCGCCCTGCGTGCGGCAGGTGTTGATGCATGGGCCTCCTTCAAGATCTTGGCGCCTCTGTGGAAGAAGGGGAAAAGAAGGGGAAACTGCCCGTACAGGATTCTAGAAGGGTTTCTATCGGGGTTTGATTGAGTCCTTGTGACTTTCCAGGTGTAGGGCTTTCTGATTGATTTGGCGCCAAGGGCTTCGTAGGGGTTTAGGGTTCAAGACAGATTCAATGAAGCCGGCATCTGCGATTCCACGGACAATCCTCTTGACTCCTGAGGCTTTCTGTGTGCCGGAGACAGCCATTTTTTTTGCACTGCAATTTTCCCTACTCGTTGTCCGTTTGGGAGTTTTTAGACGCCCTGCTTCGGCAATCTAAACCCTACATTCCTACATCCAAGCCCGGAAGCCTTAGCCCTCCAAAATGGTGCACAGAAAAGAGAGCCAACGAAATCCGAAACCCTCATAATCCTTTCCCCTCAAGCGCGTACAACCCGAGAACTTCGTGCTCTTAGGAAGTATGATGCACTTGTATCATCATAAAACTCCAAGGGCTTATTGAATATCTATGTTTTATAACCCTAAATCCTAAACCCTAAAGCCCCCAAACCCTACTCAAGAGAAACCCAGTGGGTCCCCGAGGTCCAGCAGCGCGGCCAGCGCGGCCGTAGCTGGTCCCTGGGTGCTCCGGAGCTGAGTTGGCCTTTGCAGGAGGAGCCCCGGCTGTATCGCGTTTATTGTGAATTTGTCTATGCATAGGTCAGTATGTTTCTTTGTCTCTCTTTAAGTATGTGTGTGTGTATACATGAAGAATAATTAAGTAAATAATATCATCAATTATATATATATATGTATGTAAATACATACAGACATATTAAAAGCAGACAAAATACATTATGCATCTTCGTTTGTGGTGGCGGTGTTGCGTGCTTCGGGCTTGAAGCTCAGTGCAGATCGCCAAAAAAGGTCAAAGACCACTTGACAATTTTGTTCAAGGGAGCAGGAACCGGCAGGACAACTGCGTCAGTAGGTGCAATCGCCAGTTAGCAGGTTCGCAAACTCACGACGAGCTGGCAGGGTGGGTAGGTGAGGCAGTGCAAAAGTAAGCCTACAAACGCAAGTCGGGTGTAGTTGTAGGGGAAGCCAGAGCACGGTTTGCCGTTAAGGATCTTCCGTTTGCATACGTGTACTCCCTGCTCCGAGAAACAGGTAGATGGATAGATACAGATAGATTGGAGACATTCTGTTTTGGCATGCCGTGGGGAAGGCTGTCTGCGGAACGGTCTTTCAACGTTTAGAACCCGGAGAACTTCTCTGTGTGTGTCTGTGTGTGTGTGTGTGACAGGATCCGGCCCTGGCAAGCAGCCCAAAAAGCTGCTGGAACAACGACGCTCTGACGGAATGGTTCAAGGCTTGAGCTTCCGTGGTTTCGAACTTTGAGGTTGCATTCCGAGTGAATGTTCGGTTGGGTGCTTCTGGCCCAAGTGACAGAGTTGCCAGCATAGTGCCCGGGTTGGTTCTGTTTCAAGGCGGAGGTCAGAAGAGTTGGCCTTTAATCCGCGCTTCTGCTTTGAGCTCAGGGCAGCCCGGCAAATGGTAATCATTGTCCGGAGGTTGACGTGACATGGTGCTGCACCGGCCTGGCTCGTGTGCTTGACCGGAACAAGTTGTCGACCTTCCCAAGATACAGAGAATTCATCTTTTGAGCACTTGTGCACAGACTTGTCTGCATGGTGTTTTTCGTCTTGTGGATGGAGACCAGGGCCCGACCACGACCACCACTGTCACTGGCACTGTTGTCACCACCAGAACCACCACCAGCAGCACCGATGCCAACAGCAACAGGAAGCGCAGCGGCGACAACAGCAATGCTTTCTTAAATCACAAAGCAGGAACAGATAGCAACAGTAATTTTTGTTGAGTACTGAGAAGAAGCAAAATACTGAGCAACAGCAACAGCAGCGCATGAGGAGCATAGTAGCAACGGTAAATGACACGTACGGCGCAGCAGGAGCATAGGAGCAACTGTAAATATATACGCACAGCAGCCACATTCACCACACGGCAACAAGTGTCTCATGCTGGTAGTCTTATCCATGTGCTGACCCAAGATGGAGACACATACAGTATTTAGCTCTGCATGTTACGAGTATGTTCTTGGTGTGATTGTTTTTCTGTGTAATGTCTTTGCGGCTTCCACTAGTACCTTCACCAGCCATGCTGGGACAGCTCGATGGTCGAAGCAGCATTGGGAATGAAAACCATGGTTTGGGGTTTAACAGTTCATGCGGTGTTGGTGCAACAGGGACGCCGATGATGATCTCGATGTCGATTAGTTATGCTACTGGCCATGTTGAAATTGCACAGGGGAGCATTGACAGCCTCGTACCAAGGACATGACGAAGCCGACCCTCGCGTCTTTGATCGCACAGGCAGCCTTTTGCAATGTAAGCTTGCACCATAAGGAGGGTTCAGAATTCAGGCCGGGATGAGGTCGTAAGGTCGTAGAGTGTGTGGTTCCTTGGATGCCGCGTTCAAATCCCTCAACCATGTAAGGCGATGCACTCCCTGTGCCGCATTATTCGCATGGTTTTAGACTGTCAGATATTTGTGGTTTGGACATGGGGGTTCTCGGAAGCACCCTGGATTCGGAAGCCTTCAGCCCCAAACAAAACCAGATTTCAACCCCCAAGAAAGAAAGCCCCAAATCCCTAAACACAGAAAGGCCAAGAGCTTGGAATCGCCCAATTGCAAACCACTAAATTTCTAAATTCCTACGATCTATAAACCCTGATAGATTAACTTTTAGGTTTGGGTGAGTAGGCTGTTTGCCAGGATGCCCGTGGACTCGGCGTTCGGGTTGGTACAGCTCTTCCAGTCGAGGCCATGCGAGCAGTAGGTCGTCAAATCATCGAATCGTAATGTGTGACCTACTGTAGTGTATGCTTAAAGGCGGTATGCATAATCTACTTAGCAAGACGAAAAGGATGAGCACAGGACTATAACAAGGACATCCATGTTAGCCGTAGTAAGTAGTACTCCCGGTCCGGATCGACATTGAGACATGTTTCCGCTGAGGGCGCTGCGTGACCACAGACATGGACAGGGCTTGCAGAGACATTTGGCCGATTTTCACCCTGATATCCGATACAAGTCTTCGCTTTGTTGCCCGAAAAGACCCCCATTCGTGTAAATCTCGGCACGTTCGGGTGGTTGCTTTCTTGGGGGTGCCCTCTGGGGAGAGTCGTAGCACCAACGTTGGTGCGTTCACATGTTTCTTATAATGCGCTGAACATTACGTAGAAAAAAGCCCGGGCAAGGCACTGCTGCAGTAGCTCCTTTTTGAGATTACTTCATAGGATCCTAAGTACCAACTACAACATGGAACTACTAAGGAGCCTATGGGTGTCGACATTTCAAGAAACCTTGGAAGTCTCACAAGCTTCCCTGCTTGCCCTAATTGAAAACCCCAGAGCCAGGAAGCGTTTCGACTCCGTCTCTCCGATGCCCACAAGCTGCAAGAGGCCCTGACTTAGATTTATGCTGCCGGTTTTTGACGGTTATCATTAGCGTTTGTGTTGCCATAGCTATTCTTATCGTCACCGTAGTTATTATCTTTGTATTTGTCCTTTCCACGGGGGCCCGTTCTGACATAGCGCTGCGAGATGAAAGCTGCGGCGTTGTTATGAGATTATAGGAGTGAAGCCTGTGATCTTGGACATCTTGCACATTGGCTTTCGCCCATAAAGTCTACGGCTTTGGGGTTTCCATCCCACGAGATTCATGGGCCCTCTAGCCTCATGCGCTGGGAGGCACTTGATCAGCAGCACGCTTGGCAGCAGCTCGGCACAGAAGAGCTGCTTCAGTTCTAGGTGTCGTTCCGTCAACTGGGAGCTGTGGGATTTTTGTCCTCCAGTGATTTCAGTGTGCTCGCTGCGGCGTGGCTCCTATCAGCTGCCGAGCTGGGAAAAAGAGCCGATCGCTGGCAAACCCCGTGCCGCAGAGAACACCGGAGGCGTCATACCGAGGTCGTCCCGTTGCCTTTTCTGAAATAACGGTTCATCCATTCGTCGGCTGAGGCGCCAAGCCTACCGGGATCTTCACCTTGCGCAGCTCCTCGTCCTAAACCCTTGGGGCTCGAAACCGAGAGACCCGAAGTTCGGGATGTGGGTGCGACGTTTCGCGGTTTGCGGGTTGAGTGCAGTGTAGTGTTTAAGAAAGCTTGGAGCTTTACGATTTGGGAGTCAGGTTAGTTTATGGGTAGGGGGCGGCATTGGACGAGTCGACTGCACTCGATTTAAAGGCTTGTTGCCCGAAGGGACAGATTCCCCATGTTCTTTGACAGGGTGGTAGGTTGTCTGCTATACACTGCATCCCAAGTTCTTTGGCATGGCTGTCTGCTACATACTGCATCACCCGAACAAGTTCAATCCTATGAGCATTTCCCATGCATCACATTCACCATTCCACAGTAGCCGGACGAGCTGCAACAGCTTTCTCTAATCGCGATGCGCTGATTAGTATGGTGATGAGGGCAGCACGACATGAGAGTGTAGTTGCACTTGCTGCGCTATCACTGTGACGCTCAGCTGAGCTCCAGGCTAAAAATCCCAAAGCCCTAAAACAAGCCTTGAAACTCGCGACGGAGGCTGCTGACAGACTACTACCTCCACTTCGCTCGGGATAATGCTGCGGCTGGCTTCCGGGCATACCGGCTTAATATTGTAAGTATTTGCGACTGTGGGAAAGGTCGGGCTTGACGAACGTGCATTTCTTCGCGACTTCATGTATGTCGATTATGGCGAATGTCCCCTAGTATAAAGTCCCGCGAGAATGTGCGCTGCCAGGGCTGCACGGATCCGGACTCTGTGGCCAGGGCGGGATGGTTGGACGAAGCTCCTGGACGCTCACAGACAGCTTTGTGTCCTTTGCGATTTTCAGAGCCCATATTTTCAGTTAGTTAGGAGGGTGAATCCGGCTCAGTGTGATTTGTATAGTCTCAGTGGAGAGAGAACGTTCACTCTAGCCATGCATTGTACAACAAGGCTCAGAGGAGTCCCGTAATTGTCGGCTTCAGACGCCAGGTTTGTCTTCTCCGTCATCTTACTACTTCAGGACTCTTACCTGCGATCCTTCCACTTCTAACCGGTTGCTGCGAAGTAACTTCGTTTGAATTACCAGAAGAGTCTTTAGTTATGTTGCGAGCATCACACACACGCTTCTAGATAACATAGAGTTAGAGAGCGCAGTTGCTTGGCCAGAACCCAGTCGAGGTGCATCTTCTGGCATCATCCAGGCGCCTGCCCGAGATGCAGCTTGGCCGCTAGGGCCCTTCCTGCACACCAACTCGTTTGCGGCGTTATATTGCACAGATTGCAATACCTGTATGTAGTAACAGCTTGGGGCTTAGGGTGTGTTTTTTTAAGTTGTCTTACGGTACAAGAACGTGGGATGATTGGCATGGGCTCCCAAACCCGGTTTTATTGTTTTTGGTCGTCATGTCGTGCTATTATTGCTACACGTGTGTGCCACAGGTGTATCGATTATTTTTACGACCTAACCCCACACCTGGCAAACCATAAGTGTCTAAGGTCATAGACCGTAAAGGCCATCATCCGAAACCCGGTAGAAGAAGGTCAACAGACGATTACAAAACGCTTACGCTGCGGAGGCACGGTCCGGAGATGTTCAACCGGGTCTTTGCTGCTGTGGCAGAGGGATCGCATGGGCAACTCGATGCTGTTGGGGCTTGCCTACACCCTCGAAAGTAGCTCCTTTGTCGGTTACCTTGTTTGGTAGTATTGGTATGCTTGACATGCTGCTCGTCAAGCAAAAACCTAATACATTACGGAGTGTAGGCTGGTAGGGTTTAGGGAAGTACAGGTTACACTTTGCCTGAACGGACTGTTGGGGCCGCCATTGTCTCAATCTAGTAGCATTACCATCAAAATTTTGTTGGTATGATGACTACGACGACTGCTGCTACTGCTAACACTCTCAATACCAATACGTAACACTTCCACTGCCAGTACCACGGCCCCAAACACCACCACTACCACCCTCGCCGTCGCCGCCGCCAACACCGCCACCAGCCGCCGCCGCCACCACCACCACCACCACCACCACCACTGCCAGTACCAACACCACTACTACTGCTATTGCTACTCCTACTCCTACTTCTACCTCTACTATGCTACCACTGCGACTACGACGACTACTACTACTACCAATGCTGCTGCTGCTGCTGCTGCTACTACTACTACGACGACGACGACGACGACGACTACCCCTACCACCACCTTCGGAACAGCGCCCCATCTGTTCACGACTAGAGCACATCACTTTGTCTCTTTGCGCTTGCCGTGTTTTGTTTTGTTCCCATTCATCGCCTAGGAACTTCTCCGATACCGCGGTGGAGCCCTTCCTTTGCACAGCGGCCTGTCCGATTTCATTACTTGGGCTGCCAGTACAAGCGGGAGTTGCCTGGAATGTACAGTCCCATGTAGTTTCTGACGCTCGCATCTTCATGATGTCTTCGCGGCGACTGCTTTTGAAGTGGAAGCCAAGCTTTAGGCATCATGTACTTCTTGGGATGTAGGCATGTGTGTTTTTTTTTCATCTTGACGTCTGCACCCAGGTCAGATCGATGATCGCGAGCTTCTGCCGTGTGGCAGCAAATTCCGTGCCGAACCTGGGTGGCTGATACTTCGGGCTCGCTCCTTCATCTTCCTGTCACACGGAGTGACTTCGGCTGGCCATGTTCTCTGACGGTCGTGCCCAAGTCCGTCAAAAGGAGAGTCGACAGTCCTGAAGGATCCATCTCCAACCAGGCGCAGCGCAAGCGCTTGGATTCACCTCTGTCGGTTGTCTGCGACGAGCCTGGGAGCGAGGGAACGGTGTTGGATGCCTCTGCCGGCGATCTCTGACCAGGCTCGGTCCACTGACATCGGCAGGCCGTCGAAGTTGCAGGTTTGCACTCCGCCGCCTCGTTTCCCAAGCAAGGCCCAGAATGTCCGCCCTCCAGCATGGCATGTCCAGCAATGCCGTGCGCAGCACGGCAGACTGGTTTCTACTGACGAAGAGCCTCAAGCGGGCGGTGGAAAAGCCCTGACTGCACACAGGCAGAGGTGGTAGAATAAGAGTTCATTTCAAGGACCCGGACATGATTACCATTGTCCCTTGTGGCTCTTGTGGCTACTACCAGTGGGCCTTACCAAATCTATGGTAGCACCAGGCTGACAGATCTGAAGGTCAGGGCTACCTAGTCAAGTGACACTCAAGGTTGTTTACATTCAAGGAATGCCTTGTCAATGAAGATAAAGGCGTTTTAGCTGCATCTGCTGCTGGTTCTGAAATGCCAAAGCCCCTGCAGGAAAAGCTCGCTTTTTCGGCAATAGAATCATTCCAAAATCCTCAACCTTATGCCCTTCAGCCCCAAACGCGTAAACCCTGAAACGCTTCGAGCCGCTGGACTTTTGACACCCTGAAGCATCACGCCCACGAACGCTGAAACCTCAACTATCGAAGCTCTACAGTCGTACACTTATCCCACGAAGCCGCAAACCTCCAATCCCCCAAAGCCCTTGAGCCTTTCAAACTTCTTGGAGGCTTTGTTGATTGAGTATGTCTACTTACTTGTGGTATTTATGTTAGTATGGTCCTATGCCCCTTTTTATGTAGCTCCTGTGCTTTGACACTCCATTGAAAGGGTAGATGACCTGCATAACCCTGCAGAGTCCCTAGGCCGAAAGCGCTTGTAGAACCCTTGCAAGAGCCCTTATTACCCTTAGAGTTTCCTTTATAGTATCCCGAATGGCAGCCCTTTGTTTATAGAAACCTTCTAAGTCAGTTCCACATCTTGGATTCCAAGAAGGATGATCTTCCGGACCTGTGCCTTCCAGTGCTCGCCAGCCGGCAGCAAGATGCTTCAACTCAGATGGACGAAGCTGCACCACCGCCACAACAAGTACTACTACAGCTCCTCCTCCTCCTCCTACTACTACTACTACTGCTACTGCTCTTGCTACTGCTGCTGCTACTACGACGACGACGACTACTACTACTACTACCACCACCACGACTACTACCACTACTACGACTGCCACCACTAGTTGCCTCGACCACCACTAGTTCTAGCTCCAGTTCTACGACCACTAAAGCCACTATTTCTTCTACATTCGATTACTACGACGACTACTGGTGCAAGTCTTTAATTTAAGTAAGACACTGAACATGCGCAGTGCTGAGTTGTGTATCATGACTTAGTAGGATGACCATGTCGCCGGCATTCGGAGTGCAAATCAGAAGATCAAAGAAGAAGCCAGAAGCGACAGCAGGGCTGATGATCAATTACGACCATCTTTTCGCACGACATAATTGAGCTTTGGGTTCTGGGGTTTCGTTTAGGGTGTAGGCTTGATGATGTGGGGTTTGGGTTTCATTAAATAAAAGGGGCGGTTCGTCTCACTTGGTGGGCTTCCTGCATTATATTGGCATCCCCTAGTTTTACAGGGTAGGTTGTAGTGCTAGTTTAGGGTTTTGAGGGTTTTTGTTTGCTGAGCCCAGCTTGTGTAGCAAGCCACGAGCTCTGCAGTTTGCCTCATATGGACACTGCTCTGGCTGTTCTTCAGAAAAGCAGCTACAGTAGCCTCTTCCTAAGCCCTCCTCTTTCACTGTGCCGAATTGTGAGTACTGAAACCCTCCTCCCAGGTATTTCCAGCTTCTTCAGAACTGCTCCATGGCCAGCGGTTTGGAATTGGAAGCCCTGCGGTCTCGATGGGAGATCTTGAAGATGATGTTCAACATGAAGCTCCTTGCTCCTTTTTGGGCTGTGACTTCTAGCACCTGTTTGGACAAAGGGGCCACTCTGACCCCACCGGCCCACCAACGCCAGCTCAAATCAGAGCTTCTGATGTCTCGCATCCCCGCATTGAGTGAGGTCAGTGCGTGATCGTGCGCAGGGAGGCAGGTGCAGGCGAGTGAGGAGCGAGGAAGAGGGGGGCCCGAAGGCGAGGGCGACGAGGGGGCCGAGGGGGAGGGGGAGGGAGAGGGAGGGATTTGTCAGAACAAGCCGTGAGCAATACCAAGCGATGCGATGTACACCCCTAAACCCTAAAACCTACTCCATGGGGTCGGGCAGCTAGCCAGGTTTTGAAGCTGTGGTTAATAAACCCACCACAAGTGGCAACATCTATCTATTTCAATATGGCGGGTGTGCATACAGACATGCGGACACTTTGGCAATGGTATTTCTACAAATGCGTTGTGAATGTATATAGGTTTTTTCACATGCGCTCCTACGCTGTAACCCCAGCAGAAGAAGGAGTTCCGTAAATTAGAACTACTGTCTCTTCATTGTCTCTTTGCATGTGTACCTACATCTCCTCATCGTCTCCATATAAAGTTATACTAGGATATGATAGGAGTCTTTGGGCCCAGGCTTTGGAACGGAACCGATCGCGTGCTGACGATTTCGCTGCGGCATTTCAGATCCGACTTTGATGCCACAGCGCGCTGCATTCTTGGCTTCCTGTCCAAGGCATCGGAGCTTCACTGCATAAAGGTTAGAGTTTAGGGGTTTAGGGTTTAGGGTTCTTAGGGCGGGAGCAACCCGCCCCATTGCATGTCAAAGTAACTAACACCCAGTACACAAAGCCTCATGCCAGAACCCTGAAACGTTTAAGCCCACAGCACAAATCCCAGCGGGGCTCCCATGCTATGCAGGAGGGGCAAAGCAGACGGATGAATGGCCGGCAAGCAGAGGCCGTGCATGAATATCATAAGCACAGTACCTCCCCACAAGGTCCAGCAAGCTCGAGCGGATGACTCGCACTTACTTGGAATTCTCCGGTGAAGATCATTAGTTGCAATGGTCTGTCCTCATCACCATGCACTTGACACGATGGCCCGGGCATTTCAGCGAGGAAACCGCAAGGAAGGTTTGGGCTTCTCAAAGTGCGCAGGGGTTTGCCATACATCCCCCAAACCTCCAAATCTTCAGTCCTCCAGTGGGCCATGGTTGGTCATATGTCGCACACACGACCTCTCTATAATATATATATATATATAAAATTCACATTGCTTGGTTCTGTCCTGACAAATCAGAAACCTGTTTGAAAACCCTGTGAATGAAGCTTCGTGATATCGGCCCCAGCTTGTAAGTGGGATCGCCACCAACATACTGACCCCGAAGTGTGAGACCCCGTAAGTTTGGAAAACCTAAACTTTTCCATGAAAGGGGATCTTGACTTTGACACCCCCCCCCCCGGATGTCGCCAAGTCCCGTGCCTTTTGGCTTCCTACGCAACAACCCTGAGGGAGAGCGCTCACTGAAACCTGTTGAAGAGACACCCAAATCCTTAACACCCTAGCCTCAACGAACTTTTGATGCTCCGAGCCGGCGGCTAGGCCTTGCTTTCCGAGCTCCGCGCCCTGGGCCACGGGTCGCGGCACCATGAAGCGCGGAGCGGAGCCCCTTGGCTTTGTCTTTTTGGTTTCCGCTTCCTGGGCGTGTGAAGCTGAACATACTAATATCTGTATATATGGGTAGTTCCCTAAATTACGGTCCCTTGTGGGCTCCTTGTCAATAAGGGTGCAGTATATATATATATATGTATATATAATGTGTATATATA